ATTTAATTTAAATCCCTGTCTGGAGAGCTGTGATCTTTCTGCTTTGACCCACAGAGGAGTTGGCAATCTGTTTGATGCTAACAGAAATTCACCAGCAATTCACTTTCAACTTTACTAGCGATACCTCCGAGGCCCATTTTCTGTTTTTACCTTTCCAGAAGCAAGCACTAGATAATTTAAAAATAAAAAGTCACTACCAACTAAAGACTTAAAACTTTCTGTAGTATTCTGTTCCACCAGGGGACCCAGTGAACCATACCTTCCAGTACTGGAAGGTACCCTGAACATAGTCCCCTACTCCTGAATTTGGGCTGGCCCTTTGATTTGCTTTAACCAATTGAATATGGGAAAACACCAGTCCTGAAGCTATCTTGCAGCTTCCACTTTTGCCTTTTATGGAGGCTACCATGGGGGGCTTCCCTGGTGGCTCAGTGGTAAAAAAATATCCACCTGCAATGCAGGAGCTACAGGAGACATGGGTTTGATCCCTGGGTCAGGAAGATTCCCTGGAGGATGGCATGGCAACCCATTCCAGCATTCTTGCCTAGAGAATCCCATGGACAGAGGAGTATGGTGGGCTACAGCTCATAGGGTCGCAAAGAGTTGGACATGACTGAAGCGACTCAGCATGCATGCATGCAATCCAACACATAAGAAATCTGGCTACTCTGTTGGACAGATTATGTAGAAAAAGTCACATGGAGAGAATTTAAGTCTATAGGAAGAGAGAGGCCCAATCATTCCTGCTGAACCAGTCCCCAGCTGATGCTAGGACCTGCAGTAAGGCCAGCAGAAAAATGGCAGGGCTAATCCCAGACTAGATTCCACAGTTAGCTAATTATATGGTTGTTGTTTTAAACTTTTTTTAAAACTGTCACTGTTTTTATTTTCAGTTATGCTTCTTTCTAGTTTTATTTATATACATACACACATTTTTCACAGTTGATTTACCAGGCTATTGACAATCCCTTTTTCTCCACAGTTAACACTAGAACATAAACATTTTCCCACATCATTTTAAAACATTCTAAGAACACTGTTTTCATGGCTGCATTACCATGTTCTACCTAACTGGTCTCCATTTACGGCCGATCCAGTTCCCTTAGATAAAATATTTGCGATGCTATTTTAATTTGAATTTCTTTAAGATCGATTTGTTGTTGTTTAGTTGCGAAGTCGTGTCTGACTCTTTTGCAGCCCCGTAGTCCACCGGGCTCCTCTTTGAGTGAGATCTGCCAGGCAAGAATACTGGAGTGGTTTTTTTAAACAGTTCTATTTATTTATGGCTGTGTTGGGTCATCGTTGCTGTGCACTGGCTTCTCTAGTTCTGGGCAAGCAGGGGCTGCTCTTTAGTTGCCTTACGTGGGTTGTCATTGCAGTGGTTTCTCCTGTTATAGAGCATGGGCTCTAGGGTAGACAGACTTTAGTACTTGTGGTTCCTGGGCTCTGGAGCATAGCCTCGATAGTTGTGATGCACAGGCCACGTGGGATCTTCCTGGATCAGAGATGGAACTCATGTCTCCTGCTCTGCCGGGCGGACTCTTCAGCACTGAGCCACCAGGAAAACCAGGGTTATTGTTGGTGGATAACCAACAAAAATCTATTGTATAGCACATGGAACTCTGCTCAATGTTCTGTGCCAGCCTGGATGGGAGAGGGGGTTTGGGGGATATTGGATACATGTGTATGTATGGCTGAGTCCCTTCATTGTTCACCTGAAAGTATCGCAACATTGTTAACTGGCTATAATACCCTGATACAAAATTTTTTGGTGTTAAAAATAAAAAGTTTTAATTAAAATAAACTATATGTTTCTGGGTGTTTTGTTACACAACAAATAAGGAAAACACTTCCTCACGTCTCTTCTAGTGACAACTGATACATTCGGTTATGCATGAAGCTGAAGTCTTCACTGTCCCTCTCAACTGTATTATTAATACAACAGTTTGTCAGAAGCTTTCACATTAATTACTAGGACCCAGGAAAGCTTTTTTTCAAAAGAAAGAGGTACTAGGTAGGGGTCCAGAAGCTCAGCCTTTGGCCCTAGTTTTGTTACTAGTTGCATGCCTTTTGAAAGCCATTTATCTTTTTGTCTCAATTGTAAAATAGGGAGACAAATGCTCACTCTACTTACCAGAGGAGGGTAAAAATTAGTAAAGCTGAGTTGAAAAGTAAAACGAATTTTCAAAATATACACACATCTCAATATAAAAATACCCAAACAACTCAGTCAAAAAATGGGCAGAAGATCTAAATAGACATTTCTCCAAAGGATACATACAAATGGCAAAACAAACAAACAACAACAAAAAAAACACACATGAAAAGATTATCAACATCACTAATTATTAAAGAAATGCAAATAAAAACTAAATGAGGTATCAGATGGCCATCATCAAAACATCTACAAACAATAAATACTGGAGAGGGTGTGGAAAAAAGGGAACCCTCCTCCATCATTGGTGGGAATGTAAATTAGTACAGCCACTTCGGAAAACAGTATGGAAGTTCGTTAAAAAAAAAAAAAAAAACACTAAAAATAGAGTTACAATATGATCCAGCAATCCCACTCCTGGGCATATATCCAGAGAAAATTAATTTGAAAAGATACATGCACCCCCAGTGTTCATTGCAGCACTATTAAAATAGCCAGGACATGGACACAACCTATGTCCCTCAACAGAGAAATGGATAGAGAAAAGGTTGGGAACTTCTTTGGTGGTTCTACAATTGAGACTTCTTCCAATGTAGAGGGTGTGCACTTAATCCCTAATCAGGGAACTAAGATCCCACATGCCTCATGGCTAAAAAAACCACACATAAACAATAGAAGCAATATTGTAACAAATTCAGTAAAGGCTTTAAAAGTGATACACATCAAGAAGAGGTAGTACTTATACACAAGGGACTATTACTCAGTCATAAAAAGAACAAAATAATGTTATTTGCAGTAACATAGATGGATCTAGAGATTGTCATAATGAAGTGAGAGAAAGAAAAATATGATATCACTTAAATGTGGAATATAAAAATAAAGTACACATAAATTAAAAATAAAGTACACATAAATGTACAGAACAGAAATTAGCATTGCAGATATAAAAAACAAACTATGGTCACTAGAGGGGGAGGGGGGAACAAATGGGAGATTGGGATTGACATATATACACTTTGTGGCTGTTCAGTCACTCAGTTGTGTGCAACTGGTTGCAACCCCATGGACTGCAGCACAGGAGGCTTCACTGAGTCAGGGATACTATCCAACCATCTAATCCTCTGTTGTCCCCTTCTCCTGCTTTCAATCTTTCCAGCATTAGGCTCTTTCCCACTGAGTCAGTTCTTCGCATCAGGTGGCAAAAATATTGGAGCTTCAGCATCAGGTCTCCCAATGAATATTCAGGACTGATTTCCTTTGGGATTGACTGGTTTGATATCCTTGCAGTCCAAGGAATGCTCAAGAGTCTTCTCCAATGCTACAGTTCAAAAGCATCAATTCTTCTTTAAGCGTTCAACCTACTTTATCGTCCAATTCTCACATCCATACATGACTATTGGAAAAAACATAGCTTTGACTGTACAGACCTTTGTCGGCAAAGTAAAATCTCTGCTTCTTAATATGCTGTCTAGGTTGGTCATATCTTTTCTTCCAAGGAGCAAGTGTTTTTTAATTTCATGGCTGTGGTCACCATCTGCAGTGATTTCAGAGCCCAAGAAAATAAAGTCTGTCATTGTTTCCATTGTTTCCCCATATATTTGCCATGAAGTAATGGGACCGGATGCCATGATCTATTTTTTTGAATGCTGAGTTTTAAGCCAGCTTTTTCAACTCTCCTCTTTCACTTTTATCAAGAGGCTCTTTAGTTCCTCTTTGCTTTCTGCCATAAGGGTGGTGTCATCTGAATATCTGAGGTTATTGATATTTCTCCCAGCAATCTTGATTCCAGCTTGTGCTTCATCCAGCCCTGCATTTCGCATGATGTATTCTGCATATAAGTTAAATAAACAAGGTGACAATATACAGCCTTGATGTACTTCTTTAACAATTTGGAACCAGTCTGTTGTTCCATATCCGGTTCTGACTGTTGCTTCTTGACCTGCATCCAGGTTTCTCAGGAGGCAGGTCAGGTGGTCTGGTACTCCCATCTCTTGAAGAATTTTCCAGTTTGTTGTGATCCGCACAGTCAAAGGCTTTAGCATAGTCAAGGAAGCAGAAGTAGACTTTTTTCTGAAATTCTCTTACTTTTTCTATGATCCAACAGCTGTTGGCAATTTGATCTCTGGTTCCTCTGCCTTTTCTAAATCCAGCTTGTACATCTGGAAGTTCTCGGTTTACGTACTGTTGAAACCTAGCTTGGAGAATTTTGAGCATGACCTTGCTAGCATGTGAAGAGTGCAATTGTGCGGTAGTTTGAACATTCTTTGGCATTGCCCTTATTTGGGATTGGAATGAAAACTGACCTTTTCCAGTCCTGTGGCCACTGCTGAGTTTTCCAAATTTGATAATATATTGAGTGCAGCACTTTCACAGCATCATCTCTTAGGATTTGGTCTGTATAGTCAAAGCTATGGTTTTCGCAGCAGTTATGTACAGATGTGAGAGTGGACAATAAAAAAGGCTGAGCACCAAAGAAATGATGCCTTTGAACTGTGGTTCAACCTGAATATTCATTGGAAGGACTGATGCTGAAGCTAAAGCTCCAGTGCTTTGGCCACCTGATGCAAAACGCCAACTCATTGGAAAAGACCCTGATTCTTAGAAAGATTGAAGGCAGGAGGAGAAGGGGATGACAGAGGATAAGATGGCTGGATGGCATCATTGGCTCAATGGACATGAGTTTGAGCTAATCAGGGAGATAGTGAAGGACAGGGAAGCCTGGTGTGCTGCAGTCCGTGGGGTCGCAAACAGCTGGACACAACCTAGCAACAACAGCTGGAATTCCATCACCTCCACTAGCTTTGTTAGTGGTGATGCTTCCAAAGGCCCACTTGACTTCGCATGCCAGGATGTCTGGCTCTACGTGAGTGATCACACCATCACGGTTATCTGGGGTCATTAACATTTTTTTTTGTATAGTTCTTCTGAATATTCTTGCCACCTCTGACTTACACTACTATAGAAAAAATCAATACATAACTAATAAGAACCTACTGTACAGCACAGAGACCTCTACTCAATACTCGGCAATGGCCTATATGCCAAAAGAATCTTAGAAAGAGTGGATATATTTATATGGATAACTGCTTCACTACGCTGTACACCCGAAACTAACAACATTCTCAAAAAACTTGCTAGCACGCCCCCCTCCCTCTAACAGAAAGAGCCGCAAACTCCAGGTCTCGCGACAGTTTCTTCTTTCTGCAGAAACTGCTGCAGATCTCGCGAGAATTACTTGTCCAATCATGAAACTTAATGGAGGCCCAAGATGGCGGCGCACTGGGAGCGTAACATCTGCGTTTCTAGGGTCTTCGCGCAGCGGGTGGTTAAGACTCTGGGGTTGTAGAGGTCCACACTATACTAATCGTCTGGCAGGAACTTTGACTTCAGAGGTGAGTGACTTAATATCACTCTTACGGGTTGCGAGTCCACTTACCCTTTGTAGCACCCAGGATCCCTATTCCCAGTTTCTGGGCCTGTGAGGTGCTGGCTTTGGGATCTAGGGAGAGAGACCTGATTGTGTGTGTGTGTGTGCGTGCGTGCGTGCGTGCGCGGGAGCGTATGTGTGGTGGGATGGGTGGGAGGAGTTGGCAATAGAATGGGGACTAGTATTGTGTAGGAAAGACCCCCTAGGCGGAGGCGGTTTAGAGATCCAGAACTGAGGCGGGAAGACAAGTATGAGTGGGCAAGGTGAGGACGTGAAAGGAGTGGAAGAGATGGAGAACTGGCAGTGGCGGAACTATGGAAAAAGTCGGATTTATGAGAAAGGGAGACGAGAGAAAATAGAAATTAGAAGTTGCAGGGATCTGTGCAGAAGGAATTAAAAGTTCTGAGAGCAGAATATAGATTATTTTACAGAATTATGTATTAAGTAACGAGTGGTAGTTGAAGAGGACTATTAGGAGTCGAGAGGAACCAAGGAAACAGAAGCATGGAGATGGGAAAGATTAAGGAAAGTGGAAGCGTTAGCTTACTTAAATGAAGGTCTACCACTTTGACTTTCTGCACTGGTAACCCGGAAGAAAAAAGTCCAGTCCTAGGCCTGAGCCTTTTAGAGACTCAAGATGGGGACTGCTTATCAAGAAGGAGAGTTCTGGGTTTTAAGTGCCTTGGACAGTGTAAGAGTTCCATCGTGCTTTCAGTAAAAAAAACACTTATTGCTTACCTACTCTCCAGGCCCTACTTTAGGCTCTGGGTTATCGCAGTGAAAAAGATAGACAAGGTGTTTTCCCTCATGAAGCTTACTGGCAAGGCCAATTTTAAAAAGTAAAATATATGGAATGTCAGATGGGTAAGTTCTATGAAGAAAACTGAAGCAACTAAGGGAGACAAAGGTGTTCACTCACTGCTCATTGAAATGGGGGTACTCAGAAAAGGTATCAGGAAGAAAGTGAGGTTTGATCAAAGACCTGAAAAAACTGAGGGTACCTTGCATGTGTGTATTTCTGGGGGAAGAGCAGCCCGTGCAGACCAGACAGCAAGTACAGAACCCCTGAGGCAGGGGTGTGCCAGACTTGATAGAGAAAGGACAAGGAAGCCTGTGTGGCTAGAGCAGAATGAGCCAGAAAGAGAAAAGTTTGGAGAGAAGTGGAGAGTGACAATGCTGATACCAGGTAAGGGCTGACACTCAGTTAAACTCTGAGGAATGGGGTAGTTTTAGCTAAGAACCCATTGCCTGTATAGGGAGCTCTGTCAGCAAAGAAGTGGCTTTTTTTGATTCAATGTGTATCTGTTCTGATCAAAAGGGTTGAATAATGAAGGAAGTGATTCTACCCTATCTGGAATTTAATTTGTCCCTGTGTGTTCAGAGTGTCCTGTGTGTTCCATGATGTTCACCAGACAGGGAGGAGAAAGTGGCGACAGATGAGTTTGGAGGGATAGATTTAAGTGTGCCTTGTTAATTATTTTGAGTTTCATCAGCTTAAAAGCTTTAGGAAGCCGCTGAAGGGATTTACCTAGGAATGTTCAGGTTTGCATTGGGGTGGGAGGAGGGGTATGTTGTCACCAGGATGAAGTGGATTGTTGGGGCCAGAGTGGTTAGAGAGAGATCAGTTAGAGGCTATTGTAGTCAGCCAAGAAAGAGATGATTATGATCTCTGGCCTAGAGATGTGGAGTTGTGAAGGGTGAAAAATGGATGAAAGTGAAGTGAAAATGTTAGTTGCTCAGTCGTGTCCAACTCTTTGTGACCCCATGGACTGTAGCTCCCCATGCTCCTGTGTCCAAGGAATTGTCCAGGCGAGAATATTGGAGTGTCTGTAAAGCAATTATCCTTCAATTAAAAAATAAATAATATTGAAATTTTAAAAAATGAAATAAAATTCTGGGGGAAAAAAAGGATACTTTGGAAGTGTCCTTTTGGAGAAGGAAGGTATTTCCTTCTCCAAAAAATGGATAGGGCCAAGAAATAATTAGGAGACAGAATATTCAGGACATAGTGTGTTTGGAATGGAGGAGGTGGGGTAGAAAAGGTGCTGAAGATTTCTTGCTTTTGTGCCATGAGGAAGATCTTGGTGTCATTCAGCAAAATAGGGAAGACTAGAGGAGGACCTATTTGGGGTGGTTAGAAATGGTTTCATTTTGGACATGTTGTGCATGAAGTGCTTTTGAGCCTTTCAAGTGAGTGGTCTGGTGGGCAGTTAGCTGCATGATTTCGATTGTCTGTAATGAAGACAATTCTTTCTTGAAAATGGTTCTTAAATGTGAAAAGCTATAAAAAACCTGAGTTAGAGTGTTAACATTTATAACTATGTAAAGTTACATCTCTAACAAAGCCTGCAAAGGAAATGTGCTTATTGCTAGGAGATTCTGTTATTGTTTAGTTGCTAAGTCATGTTGACTCTTGAAGCCCCTTGAACTGTAGCGTTCACGCTTCTTTATCCATGGGATTTCTTAAGCAAGAATACTGGAGTGGGTTGCCATTTCCGTCTCCAGGGGATCCTCCCGACCCAGGGAGCGAACCCATGTTTCCTTCATTGGCCGGTGGATTCTTTAGCACTGAGCCACCAGGGACACCCTAAGAGTTTACAGTAGCTGCTGTGGCTGACCTGGGGAAATTAAGGAAGGAAAGACCTTCCTGAAGCAGAGATGCTTGAATTGTGGTAGTAAGGATGAGTAGGAATTAATCAGGTGAAGAGGGAGAGGAAAGAACATTACAGATGAAAGGGGTAATCTGTAAAGACCCTATTGCAAGAGTGGAGGGAGAGAAAGAAGACCGACGGTGAGACTTGAGCTGATGCTGAAGCCAACTGTGCTGGGTCTTGTATGTATGCCGAAGTAATGTTTTTTGTTTTTCTCCTAAAAGTAAAGTTTTGAACAAGTGGGCATGGGAGAGGACACAGTGAGATTTGTGTTTAGAAATGATCACTACACGGTGGAAAAAGGCATGGAGAGAGAAGTGTGGGTTCACGGAGACCAACTAAGAGGCTGCTGTAGCAGTATGGGCAGGCTTGTATGAGCTGCTGTAGGGGAGCCTGGGGAGAAATAGATGGATCTGAGAGATATTTAGCAGGTAAAATCCATGTGACTGTTCATTTTTTGGAATACAAGAGGGATAGAGAACTATCAGGTGACTCTTAGGATTCTGACTTACATAGTACCATTTGGATGAATGTTTGTTATGAAAAAAGTAGAAAATGCAGAATGATATAAAGAAAAGAAAAAACACCTATCGTCTAGAGATAAACACTAAAGTATTTTTAAAATTACCAACTGCTAAAAAAAAAAAAAATTACCAACTGCTTAGAGATTTACTCAACTACTGCAATGACTTTTCTTCTGGTTTTTATTTCTGGCTATAAAATGTGTTAACTTTTTTCTTCTGTGTATTCTCAAGGAAAACAAAATTATTGTGTTTGTTTTCAATTGGTTTTAGCTACCTAGAAATGGCAAGATTGAAACTTATAAAAGAAGTTGAAATACAAGAAGTTTTTTGGTAGAGTTTGAAATCAGGAAGTTAAAAAAAGAAAGAGATGCTTTTTGAAACTTTAGTGACTTCATGGTGCACAACCAAATAGTCCATTCAAGACCACTGTAAAAACCAACCTCTGACTGTAGTATTCTTGGTGGTAGATTATATTGCCTTCTGCCACATTGATGCTTTTATTTTTTATTTGTTTATTTGGCTGCACCAGGTCTTAGTTGCAGCATGTGGGATCTGGTTCCCTGACCAGGGATTGAACTTGGGGCCCCTACATTGAGAGCCTGGAATCTTAGCCACTGGACCACCAGGGAAGTCCCACTTTGATGCTTTTAAAGGGAATAGGTTCAATTTTCTTCCCTTGGTTTAAAAGAAAAAGATTCATCATATGTTGCATATACGTTTTTAAAAATTGTGGTAAAATACATGTAACAAAATTTACCATTTTAAACTTTCTTAAGTGTACCATTCAGTGGCTTTAAGTATATTCACAGTGTTGTGCAACCATCACTACCATCCATTTCTATAAGTTTTTCATCATCCTAAACACAAACCGTATACCATTCAACAGTAATTCACCATTCCACCCTCCTCCCACTCCCAGTAACCTCTATTCTACTCTGTATGAATTTGCCTATTGTTGGCTCTTCATATAAGTGTAATAATATAGTATTTGCCCTCCTCTTTGTGGCTTATTGCTCTTAGCGTAATGTTTTTAAGGTTCATACATGTTGTAGTGTGTGTCCGAATTCATCCCTTTAGGACTGAATAATATTCCAATGTATATACTTTCCACATTTTGATTATTTATCTGCTTGTGGATACATGAGGTTGCATCCCACCTTTTAACCATTGTGAACAACTCTGCCATGAACATTCAGTCAGTTCAGTTCAATCGCTCAGTTGTGTCCAACTCCTTTCGACCTTGTGGACTGCAGCCCACCAGGCTTCCCTGTCCATCCCCAACTCCTGAGGCTTGCTCAAACTCAGGTCCATTGAGTCAGTGATACCAACCAACTATTTGCCATGAAGTGATGGGACTGGATGCCATGATCTTCATTTTTTGAATGTTGAGTTTTAAGCCAGCTTTTCCCCCATGAACAGTGTGGAAAGGCTGGGAACATTCCAAGTACCTATTTGAATTTCTGCTTTCAGTTCCTTTGGATCTATATGTAGGATTGGAATTGCTGGATCATATGGTAATGTTTAATTTTTTAAAGAACCACCAAACTTTTCCACAGCAGTCATACCATGTTCATTCCCACCTGCAATGCCTGAGGGCTCCAGTTTCTTCGTATGTTTGCCGGTACTTGCTATTTTCTCTTTTTTTCTTTTTTAATAGTAGCCGTCCTAATGTGTATGAATTGATATCTTATTATGGTTTTGATTTGTGTTTCCCTGATGACATAGAACATCTTTTCATGTGCTTATTTGTTGTATACTTTTAAAAATATAGCTTTTTTTCTCACTTGATTAGCAAAGATGTGTTAGCTGTAACCGTTGACTTGGCAACCACAACTTTTCTTGTTGATTTTGTTTAACTAAATACGCTGATTCCCCTCCCCCTTTTTTTTCTTTTTAAAGATGGCTCTGAGTAAATCAATGCATGCAAGAAATAGATACAAGGACAAACCTCCTGACTTTGCATATCTGGCAACAAAATATCCAGATTTTAAGCAACATGTTCAGATAAATCTGAATGGAAGAGTGAGGTAGGTAACAGATGAAGAATTCTTGATATAGTATTATTCTAGTGTAATTTGAATGGACCCCGCATAGTGGAAAGCATACTGGACTGATAGTAGACCTGAATACTAATTCTAGACTTTTCCTTAAACTTCTCACTTGACCTTGGACAAATCACTTCTCTTGGTTTTAGCTTTTTAATCTATTAAATAAGAGGATTGGACCAAAGGCTTTTAAGTTTCCTTCTGAGTAAAAAAAACACAGAAAGCAACAACAAAAAAGACCTCTTGATGTCCAGATTATTGCTTACTCACCAGGGTAACTGCAGAAACCTTAGGATTGTGCCCTAAGACCTGGTGGGGGTCTGAGGTCCTTATTTTAAGTGTATAGTTATTTTGTTGTGACGTAGGAGAATAATAACCAGGACCTCAAAACTGATTTCACTTCAGTATTACTTAGGATGTCACTAAATTCAAGTTTAAAATTTAATTATTAAAAATTAAGAAAATAATAGGTATGATGCTTCAGGAAATGGCAGAGATGATGATAATGGTATGGGAATAACTGATGTTTGTATTGAGAAGGAGATCTTTAAATTCTGCCATCCTAAATTCTATGTGAGTTACAGAGGAGGGTGGAAATTTCAAGCCTGCCTGGGGAAAATGTGTTCATTCACCTGTGGGGAGGAAGAAGAGCAGGATTTGGGGAGAAGTGGGAAGGTCAGGAACAATAGGATCAGAAGTCTTGAGGCATTTTGCTGACCTCATCCTTCCTCCTGGCGGACTTCTAATAGAAGGGGAGGCCCCAGGGCAGGACTTAACATGGGGGCCAAGATATCCTAGAAATCCTAAAACTATATGTGTGTGTGTGTGTGTGTGTGTGTGTGTGTGTGTGTGTGTATGTATATTTATATTGTTTTTCTGGGATATAATCCGTGGTTTTCACCAGTTTCTCAAAGAGCTCTGTGACGCTACTCCCCCACCAATATGCAAGGGTAAGTCACATGCCTTAGAACTGTGATTTCCCAGCTTTAGTGTCTGGTTTACTCAGTGAAAGTTGAGCACAGCTGCATGTCTGAATGCCTATGTTACTTACCATTTTACTATATTAAGCATTTTAGAAAACAAACTTCAAACTGGAAATTAAAAATTTATTTAAATAAGAGTTCTAAAGATTCATCTTTGGCATGTTACTTCAGAGATCACCCTGAAGATACTGAATTGGTGTTTCTCTGTGTTTAGATCACCTCTACCTTTGTTCTTAAATTTTTATTTCATAATTATGTCTGTGGAGGCTTATTTATCCTAGTAGCTTTAGAACAAATACAGTTTTGTTATTCTTTGTTTCTTCTCTATACTTATTTTTGTACTTTTTTTTTTTTGCTTTTTTTTATTATGTACTTAATTATTAAATGTATATTGATTTTTTAGCTATTTTGTGCCAAGTTCTAGGAAAGCTGTAATAAACAAGAAAGACCTGGTCTCGGCCATATTTGGGGTTCACACACTAGTGGAGGAAGTGGGCAAATAAACAGGCAGTTAGCCTTCAGTGTGGCTGAGCCTGTGGAGCACACAGTGGAATCACACAGAAGGGAAACCTGACCCCAACCTTGGGATTTAGAGAATAATTTGAAACAGAAAGTTGGTCTCAGTTGTGTTCTGAAGAATGAGCCAGGTAGAAAGAAGAGTGTTAACAGGCAGAGGGAGTGGCATGTGCGAAGAGCATAGTCATGGGGACTGGAAAAGCTGCTGCGGTGTGGACACATGACAGGAGGTGAGGCTGAGAGGGTGATGCTTGGCAGTGTTGTATAAGGCCGTGAGTTTGGAATTTATCTTAGGCTCATGTGCGGCGAGTTCTTTTGTCTTCAGAATTACCCATCCCCATCCCTATCTACTAAAGTTTTAAAGCAAGCCAGTAGCATTCAGAATTGTTTCCGTTCAGTTTAGTTCAGTCGCTCAGTCTTGTCCGACTCTTTGCGACCCCATGAACCGCAGCACGCCAGGCCTCCCTGTCCATCACCAACTCCCACCCAAACCCATGTTTGTTGAGTCCGTGATGCCATCCAACCATCTCATCCTCTGTCGTCTCCTCCTTCTCCTGCTGTCCATCTTTCCCAGCATCAGGGTCTTTTCAAATGAGTCAGTTCTTTGCATCGGGTGGCCAAAGTATTGGAGTTTCAGCTTCAACATCGATCCTACCAGTGTACATCCAGGACTGATCTCCTTTAGGTTGGACCAGAATTGTTTAGATAGATGTAATCTAGGAGCCGTATAGAAGATGGATTGCAGGGGGAGTTAAGATTGGAAGTATAAGTAAGTAGGGACTGGTTTTAGTAATCCACATTAGATATATTGATGACATAACTCTGTAGAGGGAGGAGGGATATAGATCACTGGATGAATTTGGGAGAAATTGATGAATAAGATTAGCAGAACATGGTAGAAATTAAGCATGAGCCAAGTGACCTCAATTTAGCAAGAGATTAGGGGGTAGTGCTATTTACTGCAGTAAGGAACAAGGCAGAAGGAGCTGGTTTAGGGGAGATGATATATTTTCATTTGGGGGCACATTGAATCTGAAAAGTCTATGCAGTATCCAAGGTGGGGTATTGGGTAGACAATTGAAAACAGAAGTCTGAAGAGAAGGACCCACAGTAATTTGGAGGTGGTGTTAGTGAAGGCCTTGGTCTTTGAAGTGAATTCTGATGGCTGAATAGAAGGGCGGAAGAGTTCCAAGTGTAGAGAACAGAATTTTGTGAAAGGCCTGGTACATTTGCAGAGCTGCATTAGATGGGGCTGAAGTGGATATAGGATAACAGCTTAGAGAATACTGGGAGATGAGACTGAAAGGAAGACAAAGAACAGGTCACAAAGAGCCTTTCATAGCATGCAAATAAGAATGAACTTGATTGCTCAGACTTTAAGGAACCAGAGGAAGATTTTTTAAATGGTTAGATTTTTAAGATGGCTTTAAGATTTATATTTTAAAAAAAACCACTCAGAGCAGACCGCAAGATCTGTTATCACAACATATCTGAATGGTTTAAGGGTGTCTGACAAGTAATAGATGTTCAATAAATATTTGTTGAATGCATGAGAATAATTCTTTAAAATCTTAACTATCTGCCATTTATAGATGCCATGCTCAAAACTTAAAATTGCCGATAATAAAGGGATGGGCAAAATCATGCTAGAAATGAGACTTCCCTCCAGATTAAAGTAAAATAGAAGACAAAAAGCCTCAATTTATTAAAAAAAGAAAACACATTTGTCTTTTGTCTTCTGAAAGGAACAACTTTCAGAAGACTTAAGTGTTTGATGTAATTCAGAGACATTTTTCTTTGTAGTTTGAACCAAGTAGATAAAAATAAACAACAATGACCTAGGGATTTTCAGAGGATCAGTGAATGCTTCAAAGACAATTAGGCAAAAATACTCTTTAAATATGCTCTTTTTCTTGGAGTTGTTGTCTAGTCACTAAGTCGTGTCCAACTCTTTGCGACCCCATGGACTGTAGCCCACCAGGCGCCTCTGTCCATGAAGGGCTTAAAGCTTTAACCTATAATTTAGAACTTCACTTTTAAAAGGGTAGTTGACCCAGAAATGGTTAAGAACTACTGATAGAGAGCCTAAAGAATATAATCAATGGGTTTGACTTAATGATATGTTTTGAACTTTTTGATCTGCAAATATGAACACACATTCTTTTTAAATAGCTGGCACAAGCTTCTAACACTAGAAGGGACTGAGCTGGAACTCTCTTAACTCAGTCTCCTGCTTCTCTTATTTATTGAGTTCAAAGATTAGAAAGAAAAAGAATTGCAATTTTACAGATGGCTTGATTATTGTCTACCTGAAGAAACATTTGAGAATCACCTAAAATTTTTCAAATGATTACAGAATAAAATATACATATATATTTAAACGTATGTAAATAAATAAAGAAAAATTGATAGCTTTCCAGATACTAGTTGGAAAATATAATTACAGTAAAAGATCCCGTACACAGTAGCAAAGAGAAATAGGCAGACATTTGACAAAGAAATATGTTAAGACCGTGTGCATAAAACAGCAGAATTGCTCTCAGGGATCTAGGGGAGACAGTGAATCTAAGGACATGGTATGTTTCTGGATGAGAGAGCTCAATAAAGTTAATATGTCAATTCTTTCCCAAATCAGAATCCTCCTGAGGTTTTTGGGAGAGAAAATGACATGATATTTCTTTTGTTCAAAGAAAAGATGCTCAAAGCAAATGTTCTAAATGGATGATGGAAAGGTGAAGGAGTGTAAACTCTCCCAGATGGGTATTTAATATACTGTGAAGTTCAAGGAATTAAAACATTAGCGAAGTATTGCCACAGGAATGGTCCCCCATTGTCTGGCACAAAGTGGCGTTCAAGTCTAAATAGCATGTGCACATTAAATAGTGAGTGAGTCCAGCCTGCACTCTACTCAGTACTGAACCTCCCAGAGGGAGTGTAGAGTGGACAGGGTGAATCTTCCTTTCTTAATCAGTCTTGACTCCTATGTGTTCCTCATAATGTGAATGTTACAGTGCTGTGAATGATTAAAGAGATGTCACAGTGTTATTTTGGATTTTCACTTTACATGCTTACTTTAGAACCTGACTCCTAAGTAAGATGCCACCCCACCGTGTAGACTCTAATGTAGAATAAGAGCATTTCAGGTTGTTAAGGGTGGAACTAGACAGAAATTTTTTGTTTGTTTTTTTTAAGTAATGGGTTTTTATTTATTTATTTATTTTAGTAATGGATTTTTAATAGATGCAGTTGGAACAGCTGTGGGGAAAGTGCATTAGATTCCCTTTCCTATGTATTATGCAAACTAGATTTCTGATGGTTTAGTGATTTCAGTATATTTATTTTATTTAAATACTAGGAAAAACGTATAGGTGAACTGTTGAATGTTGGGTATAGGAATAGTCTTTCTAAGTAAACTCCAAGGATAGAATTTATAAAAGAAATTTTATGGATTCAACTACCTAAGAAATAAAAACTTTTACATAT